AAACTTATGAAATTCAGGTTTTCTACAAAGTAATATTAAAATAAAAATAATGCACACCAAACTTCCACTTCAGATTAAAAACTACTTTCAGCCTCCAAAAATACTCCAATGACTACCATAAGAAAGTTTTAACTTTAGAGCAAACACTTGCCGATTACAAACTACAACCCAGATAACAAACCACTCATTTCAAAACCAAAAAGAGAAATACTTCAGAACTTCACAGTTTCCAAAAGCTTTTGGTTTTTTTTTTTAAACAAATGTACCAAATTACAGTCTTGTCTGCCTGGATCCTGTGCTTATACTGACGCTCTAATTCCACTCTCTCATTCTGCTGGAGTCCAGAGCTGTGTGAGCGAATACATTGGCAGTGCTCGGTTACAACCACAGGGCACGGTGCCAGCGAGCTCCTCCACACGCCTCTGGGACACTCGGCAAAGGGGAAATCCTTATTCCTCCAAAGTGCCATCTCCATGGAAGTGTTTAACACAAAACATCTATCACAGGAACGAGGACCACAGGATCCAAGCGCAAGCGAAGACAAAGCACCCCTTTGCGAAAACGGGTCTTACTGGGATCTTCCAAGCCTGATGGCCTTTCAGGACCAATGAGAAAGGCAGCTCATTAATCAGATGGTCAGCCTTTCCTGATGAAGCAACTAGCTTCACGCAAGCTTGACACAAGGGTATTGGAAATAAGCTGGGGCACGGCACAGAACGATACCCTTATCAGCCCATGTCTGGAACCAGACGCAAACTCACCAGTATTGTGGAAATCTGATCCAGACTTCCTTGAAGCCATTTAGACTCTGAAAAACAAAAACACAGTTCAGGACACGTCAATACAATTTGAGCAGATTTGTGTCACAAAAGTATGAAAACTGTTGGCCAACTGACCCTGTAGAAATGTACAAAGGATGCTGACCAGACAAACAGTTTACAACGCTGACATAACGCTGGCCAGACAAAAACTTAACTGAAACATACAGAAAACAACTACATTGCCGTACTCACTTTTAGGGAAGCGTACATTTTCTGCAAAAAGTGAATGTGATCTACAAACCTAAACCCCTTTCTTGCCACAACAGTCACTCCATGAATTCTTTGAAATAATCGATATCCAGAATATCAAAGACTCTTTTTCATCAGCCTACAATATATAACAAGCGTTTCCAACAAGTGAATTTACAACATTAAAAAGTAGACAATAGATTTGTTTTTCGTCATCTTTGCTCATTATACAGTTAATCTATCAAAACCTGGGATTTTCAAATGTCTGGGTTTCTTGAAAGGCACTATACAGGTTACTTATCCTAGATAAGAGCTGCCACTATGCAGGAGATTCCACACCACAACTTGTTAGCTACAACATACTTTGAGTGGAGTGTCCAGAAAAGTGCTATATAAGTGTAAGCGATGATTATTATCAGACCCCCTTTGTCAGCCTGCAGAATGTAGACTTATCAGATTTGTTTTAAAGGACAGTTTGGTAGGTATCAGTTAGGTATCACTGCAAAATAATGAAGTCTATGTGCAAACAGCACAACTGTTACAGCAGGGGACAGAGACCAGCACTGAATGAAACGAGAAAGGAGTGAGACAAAGGCCACCAGGAAGCACAGGATTTCCAGTTCTGCAGGTTTTGGTTCCTGCTGCTGAAGTTCATGATGACGGCCAAAATGCTCAGCCTGTATGGTAATGCACTGTATCGCAGTCGCGGCTTATTTTCCATACGAATTTTAATAGACTGCTCGTGAACAACAGTTACAAGACACACTTCCCCTGCTGTCAGGAAAGCCTCAGCCTGCGAAAGCCGTGTCCTGATAAACACTGAGTACTTTCATCCTGCATCCCTGGAATGGGCAGTACAGAAAAGCACTTAACTTCCTTTTTTTTTTAATACTTTGTTAAAATAGCGTTCAGACACATAACATTTACTGTATCCCCAGCACCTTTCTTAGTTTTGTCTTACCAAACCCGAGATCCTACTGTACATCCAATTTAACCATCTTTTTCCTAACATTAGCTTTTCTCCAAAACAGATGTCTAATTCACCGGGACCTCGCACACTCAAGCTTTCCTCCACCTTGAGCAATCTGGCCCTTCCCTTCCAGAGAGACATGAACCTGTGAACTGCCCCTGGTGTGCACTTATACCTAGAAAACAGATTTCGGGTTCTCCACTTTCCGGCTCTCGCTGGCCAACTGTCAATGTAACAATTCCCCTAACAAATGTTTCTGCACCTCCCCATCCCACTTCTTTGATCGTAAGATATTTAAAAGCCAATGACCTCCTGAATATTTATTTCACAATCTTTCGGGCGTTTTGGACAGCGGAGCAGTGTGCTGGTTAAGGCAGCTCCAGAGTTGATACACTGCCCTAGAACACCAGTGCAGGCTGTAGAGAGGCCAGGGATTCTGTTTTACTCACTGCCTTAATCTGAACTCAAATCCACACCTAACTGTACTGCAAACAAGCAAGACCCCACAGCAATAACAATCAGTCCACATGGGTTCACAGGAGTGGAATTCAAACTTTGGCCTGTACTTCATATGGTGACATAAGCACCACTCAATCAATTCAGATGTTCCCTACAGCCTGGAAAAGCTCCAAATTTGAACGCAAGACAAATTTACAGGAATTGTTCAGTTTCACCTCAGCAAAGTACAAAAAGGTAGAGCATGTCAACACTGTTTTAGAGGAAAAATGGCCATTTAAACAATCTAGATGCTGCATACTTCACAGAACAAAACTGCAGATCTAATACTGCATGTTAGACAACATGGACCTTTTTTATGATGCTTTCAGGGTAAGCACCATATCTATGAACAAAAGGCAAGTGCGGGGAAAAAAAAACCCACCCACAGGGTTATTTCATCCACACTTCACACACAAACAGAATCTCAGATTAAACTGCCTTTTGCTGAAGAGAGATTGCTCTTCAGTTCTGGCAAACCATTCAGCACTGCTCAGGTCCACCTCCAGTCCTCACTAGGAAGCTCAGCTGCCGGGCAGTGGTGCATTACCCCAACCGGCTAAGGGATCCATTGGCGAAACACTGCGGATAATGACTCCAGCCAGTCATGAAGTGTGAGAGGACTTCCCCGTGCGCACCTGAGGACTGGACATCCTGCTCCCCACATCCCAGCCCACACAGCCGCTCACTCACAGCGACACACAGACGCGAATGCGGTTCCCAGCCCAGTACAGGAAGTGGGATCTGCGGGCACCTGAGCTTGGCACCAGACTAATCGGGCCACTGTACTCACGATGCCGACTGCCAGTCTAGACAGGTGGTCCATTCTGCATTCCCTTCGCAAAAGACCGCAGTCCCATGAATTCCCCCGCAACTCCTTCCTACCCCCAGCTCCCTGCATGCCACCAGCTGCCAGTCCTCATTCACCTCTGGGAAACCTGTTTCAGCTAGCACCTCCTGGGGGGGAGCTCCAACGACAACTGAGCACTTGAAGCTATTCAGACACCAGCATCCTCCTCACACAACCCCAGACACCCCAGGAGGCAGAAGGGAAACAAGAGGGGAGCCATAAGAACAGCAAAAGCCCAAAACCTGGAACTTACTTGCAAGCAGATCCATACGCAGCACACCTCTGCGACAACCGAAAAAGCCCTACTTCCAATGTCCCAGAAAACGTCATAGGAGCTGTTTATGCAAGGGACATATGCCACGTGTTAATCCCAATCACAAAAGAAATAAGGTATCAGGTAGAAATGTATCAGGATGCAAGAAAAGTTGTTGTTTTTTTCTGAAAAGCTGCCTTGAAAATCAATTTTGCATTTGATTTCTTCATCAAAGGTTTCCAAATCTTGGTCCTAGAGGATAACTCTCCGTAGGCTTTCAAGATCTGTTTAACACGGCACCTGAAGAGCGCAACACAAGAGCCCTCCAGCCATCCAGGACTGGACACCCCTGTCTAGCATCAAACCAAAGAAGGAACTTTGGGTCATAAACTTGGCACATATAGAGTGACAGAGTGAGGATGGCTTTTCAGGGAACTCAAATGCTCCCGTTTTTCTATCTTAATCTGAGGCAATTGAGAAATGTGCTCTTCCAATTTATTCAACATGAACAGCAATGAGCACACACACACAGAATGTTTTCTCAATATGATTTATATTAAGGAAATACACACTTTTATAATTCTCAAGAAATAAAAAAAAAGGGGGGGGGGAAGGTTTCAATTTTTTTTAATTGAACTTGCGCGGCGTTTTGCTTGGCTTTTGCGTCACAAGACTGTATGCATGTTGGTAGCTGAAGAGGTAGGAACACAGACATTTCTTATTTTAGTGCGTAAATTTGTTGCACTTTCATTTTTCCCCCACAGTTACTAACGATTTTCCAGATAGAACAGGTTCAAGATTGGATCTACCAATCATTATTTACTCTTCCTGTGCACTTGAGTTTATTGTGATCATAGCCATGAGCTCAAAGTCCCTTTACAATGAATGCCCATTATTCTGAAACATACTTGGGTCCAGAATCTAATTGGCAGTATACTACTGACAACATGTAACTAACGTGAAAAGTCATTAAAAAGATTAATTTAGCTTCCTTACATTACATTTTATGTCTACATGGTATGGAGAGTTATGAAGGAGACAAAGGAGACACTGTAACTCTAAGTACAGTTGCAATAGTGCAATACTAAGAACCCCAAAACAGGTATGTTAGCCCTATTCCAGTAGGCCCCATCAAACCCTCTAGGGAGGCTGAATCTCTGAAGAATCACCACTTGAAGCCCAGAGTGTGGCCACAACTAACCATAAGAGGAAGAAAGGTACAAAGCATTAAGAGGCCATCTGGACTAGCATGTTCCTCCATCACCTGTCCTGCCTATTGTTGATAAGATGTAACATCATTAAGACTAAGGCCATACAGTGACTTTGATGAATCATTCATTTGTATCCAAAAATAACACAATACTGAAGGTGCTATACATTTAACAAGTGTGCCTTAAGATGAAAAACTGGAACAAGTACAGAACACTAACGGGACATTACTCAAAGAAAATATAGTGCAGAGCTGTATTAACTATACATCAGCTGTTTGTTAATTTGATCATGTGGGTTGGTTTTAGCCCTGTAATAAAAGGAGGACTGTGGCTCTGCCAGACAGCAGCTCCAAGGACTGCACGAGAGACCGAGGAGCCAAACCCGCTGTTTGGTCAGCGCTACTTCAAAAAAAGGTTGCCTGTTCTCAAGTACCAGTCTACTTAATGATACCGGGCATCAAAAACAAATTCTCTCCATCTAAGCATGTATGTTTTTAGAAGAGTTAAATTGATTTTTGATGTGTGAAATGTCTTTGGTGTCATTTTTCACCATTGATCTGCTGACGATCTGCTGTCGTATAAACCCTGCATCCCCTCATTAGTGAAGACTGGACACAGCTGATGAGGTGCTCTGGTACCGAATGTCAAAACTGGTGAAACTCAAGACAGAAAAACAAATAATGGAACCGATATGCTCCACAAAGAACAATGCCTGTGTGTCATCTCCGTATCGGAAGCTGGATTAAGTCATGACACCGCTGCTGGACATCTGGGGCTTCCCAACCATCAGTTTCTATCCGAGTACAAAAACAGGCTGGAAATGACAGGCCGGGATCTAACGAACAATGAGTCACAACACTCCGGCGAGATCGACGGATTATCCCGATTCTTTTTCACATTCCCAGATCCGCTGCATCAGAAACACCAGGTCACAAATGTTCACTGACTGATCCTACACTCATCCTGTCCCTGGACCCCAGCAGCAATCGCTGCTGTGGGTTCATCCTGATGTGACAACA